CTAGAGAGCTTGGGCCGGAAGGTGAGTTTGCCGAGCATAGTACAGACTCCCTTCGTAGGTGCGCATGATCTGCTCAGCGTCGGCTACTACGGTGGGCCAGTAGAAGCCTTGTCAGAATGCATTTCAGACCCCACCGTGGATATCGCTCAGCAAACACTTCCCCTGTTCGATGGAGATGCAGCGCTGTAGGATCCCGGTGTGGCTCCGCTTGTAGAGTTCGCCCTCCACAAGAACGAAGGACTTGGCGCGGCGCGTGAGCCATCGAGCCTCCATCTTGTCTGTCAGTAGCATGTCACGGAGGAGGTAGTCAAGGTAGAGCGTCCTCCAGTCGACCAGAGGGTTGGGCTCTGTTGCTGGGTCCTCTTCAAGCACCATGACATCGGGACCGGACGGAACCGACGGTAGGTCAGCTCCCGAGCCTAGATTGGACGGACTGTCACCGGCTTGTTCCGACCCCTCGTAGTGGACCGAGGGCTTATGTTGGTCGCTGGTGAAGATGCCTGTTGGCACTGGCTCTCTACTGGATGCTGCCTTTGCCAGCACGTCAGCTGCCTCATTTAGGCCTCATGGCGCGTGATCTTCTGGCAGCGCTTGGAGTCATAGGCCTCCGATCCTCCGAAGATCATGAGGTAACTATCCGGCATTGGAAAGCCGCCGTCTTTCTCCTCGGCATCATCCATGGTGGGGTCAGGGTCCCTCCCATGCTCCCCTTTGTTGGAGCCTCCAGACAAGAACCACCGCATGAGGCTGCAGTCCTTGTATAGATGCTTGACCGAGAATGCATGGTTCGGGCATGGCCCCTCGAGTAGTTTTTCGAAATAGTTCGGAGTGCCCTCCGTGGGCTTCCAACCGCCCCTGCGGTCAGCGATGGCTACGAGCGAGCCCTCGCGTCGTTGCTTCTTGTTCTTCTTTTTGGCGGAATGATTGGAGGCGCCTTCGTCGGCGTCCTCATCCCGCTTCGCCTTGCCATCGAGGCAATCGAAGATCTCTTTGACCGCTTCTTCACCCGAGGCGTGGCTAGTGGCGATGTCTAGGAGCTCCTTGGTGGTTCGCGGACCCTTATGTCCTAGCTTGTGAACCAGAGACTTGTAGGTGGTCCCAGACAGGAATGCTCCTATAACATCAGCGTCGACGACGTTAGGAAGCTCGTTGCATTGCCGGGAGAAGCGCCGGATGTACCCACGGAGGGTTTCTCTAACCTTATGCCGACAGTTCTTGAGGTCCCACGGGTTTCCAGGGCGTTTGTATGTGCCCTGGAAGTTTCCCATGAAGATCTCCTTGATGTCCGTCCTACTTTGGATTCTGTTGGACGAAAGGTGTTCCAACCAGGTTCTTGCCAAATCGGCGAAGAAGAGTGGAAGATTGTGGATAATGATGTCATCATTATCCGTACCACCAGCTTGGCAGGCAAGCCGATAGTCTTCGAGTCATAGTCTGGGTTTTGTTTCCCTAGAGTACCTCGGGATATTGGTTGGTGGTCGGTACCTTGGCGGGAAGGCAGCGTCGAGGATGTGTCGACCGAAGACCTGAGGTCCCGACGGGCCGAGGCTCAGGCTTGGGTCCTCGCCGCTATCGTAGCGTCCGCCACGATGAGGGTGATAGCCACGTCTGGCTCCCTCTCTTGGGTTGTTGTAGGTGTGTCTGTGGGCGTCGAGGGTGTTGCGCGCATCACGGTTGTGGCTGAGATGCTGACGCACAGGGACCGCGGTGTGCTGCCTACTTTCTTGTGGTTCCTGGTGGACCGATGCATCCCTATCGGGGCATTCCGAGAGCGTGCGCTGGCTGGCGTTGAGCTCGCATCGCCGAGACAATGAGCCCTCGGCCTGTTGCGCTGCCGCACGCTCGAGCAGCGTGCGAATCTCGTAGTGGGCCCGATGATCCTCGGGCGTCGCGGCCTCTGGAAGACCATGTAGCAAGGCCGCCGCAGCGGCGATGTTCTAGCTTGCTCGGGCGAAGCGAGGGAGGGCTTCATCATCGGCGATGATCCTCCGGTTCACGTCACGGGCCATGGCGCGTGCGCGTCCACCGTCTCCGCAGCGCTCGATCTCCCGATCAAGCTCCGTGCATTCCTGCTCGAGCTGGAGTCACACTTCATCGAGGTCTCGGTGTCGGGCTCTCAGCTGCTCCACCCTCATGTGAGGTGGGGCCACTGTCTCCCCCTCGGCATCGTCGTCGAGGTCGTTCACCGGGGTAGCCTCCTCCTCGGGGATGCTTTCGATGTGTCCCTCGGGGGTACCCGTCATGAAGCATTCACGAGAGGGGTGATGGCTCCCCCTGCTAGAGTCAGAGCCAGAGGGTGACTCCGGCTCCTTTGTGAGGAGGTCATGGAAATATTCCGCGATGTGTTCGATCACCCCCATGAACTTGTTGTTTGCGGGGGACTGGATCATGCGTTGTGCCACAAGGTGGCCAACAGTCTCTGCGGCGTTGCAGAGACTGAACGGGAGTACCATCGGGGCGCTCCGGATGAGATGTTCCGGGAAGAATGGCTCTCCTCCGATAAGCCGTAGCTCCTCGAGCATCTTGGTGATCGCGTTGAGGCCTGCAGAGTGGAAGGGTTGAACGACAACAGGTACTCGTGCCAGTTCTCCCTCCACCGTGATGATGAAGTCCAGGTCCTCGAAGCGCACGTGTGCGCTCGGGACCCAGCTGATTCTGTGGCTAGCCATCCGTGGCCTGATGTTAATGTTGGAATAGTACATGCAAAGGCCCCCACCTGGCGCGCCAACTGTCGGTGTTTCGAGTAAACACCAACGAGTAAATTTGTATTATTGCGCGTCTGATCCGGATGGTGTGCTAAAAGACACAAGGTTTATACTGGTTCAGGTAGAATGTCCCTACGTCCAGTTCGTAACTGTGGCTCGTGTTATTAGCACCGAAAAGTTCGCAGTAGGGGTTACAAACGGACGAGAGAGGGACATGTTCCAAGTCTCTGTTGGAGAGGTTGAGTGGGTGCTGAGAGCTTGGTTGCTGCTCAGCCATGTGTGATGTGATGTGCGGTGTGTTTTTTCGATCCCCTTAGTGGGGTGCCCTGCCTTCCCTTTTATAGACCAAGGGGAAGTAGGGATTACAGATGGGAAAAGGAAGAAAAAACAGAGGCAAAGGAAGTCCTTCAAAGATGCCGGGTCTTCCTTTTCCTCTGAGCGAGTCCCGCTGACACGGCAAACAGTGCTAGGGATAGCTCCATGCTAGGTGCATGTCCGCTGATCCTGATAGGGCCGCGCTGGGCGTTTGACCGCTGATGATGCCCTGTTCTGGCTTTGTTAGCAAGTGGTCACGTCCCATCCCACCCCGGCAGGCGGCACGACGGACCAGGGTGCTGATCCGCGACCCTACGGAGAGCAGGTGGCGTAGTGACCGTACGTCCATTACTGTAGATGATGTGAGTTTTCTCCTGGACCATAGTGGTTGTCGTATGCTTCCGTCAGGATCCGCGCCCGAGGGCAAATGGCGGCGCCCACAACACTGTAAGACAAATGTCGGCACCTACAACACTGTTCGGGTTCTGACATGCCTAGAAGGTCTTAAAGCGCCCGTCTTGTCATATCCCGATGGTACTTTCCTGCAGGCGTGCAGGGTACGGTCCTTGGTATTGCAGTTGACTTGAGTGTCCCGCCTTATCTGCGCGCGTAGTTATGAAGGGGCAGCGCGCAAACAAGTCAGCCCTCAGACCTCGGACGAGGCGGAGCCAGCTCTCAGACGTCGGGCGAGGCGAAGCCAGCCCTCAGACCTCGGGCGAGACGGAGTCAGCCCTCAGACCTCAGGCGAGGCGGAACCGGGTCTCAGACCTCGGGTGAGGCGTAGCCGGCCCTCAGACGTCGGGCGAGGCGGAGCCAGCCCTCAGACGTCGGGCGAGGCGAAACCGACCCTCAGACGTCGGCGAGGCGGAGTCACCCTCAGCGATCGGGCGAGGCGAAGCCAACCCTCGGGGGTCGGACGAGGCAGAGCCAACCCCCGGTGGTTGGACGAGACGGAGTTAACCCTCGGACGTCGGGCAAGAGGTGTAGTCATGCTCTTGTCTTGTTCGGATGTATCAAAGTTGATGGTTATTAGCTCCTCTTTGGGTACCCTAGTATTAGGTCTCCGGCACATGAGGAGCAGCTTCTAATTGTTCTTCTTGGCTTCTGCTGATTCAGGTTCTCTCCCCAACACCAAAATATATAGAGGCAAGTGGGTAGGCCGGCGCGCCACCTTTGAGGGATCCCGCACCATGCTCTCACTGCCCCACGCCACGCTGCCACCGCTCTACGCCAAAGCTCAATTACTGGTGGTAGGTGCCACCCATGTCCGCCGCACACTCCTCACGACTACGTGTGTGGGACTCATCAGTTGTAGTGCGCCGCAACTGGGTCATCGCCTTGTCCTCTGCTTCCACCCATGCTATGCTCGACGAGACCCATTCTGCGCCGCAGAAACTTGGGGCACAAGCAAATTACTAGTTCTATTTACATCAACAACACGATCGCTCTGATTTAGGAGTTGAGGCTGCCATCCTTAGATGCATTTGTCCATTTTGTGTGGCAATAGAACAAAGGCTAAAAAACATCATTTCTCATTTGTTACGGGTAGCCTGATTTTAAAATACCGTGAAAACCCAGTGGTTTATTGTCCGAAACCTTCTTAATTTGTGCTGGTTTTTTGGAAGAACTAGGAGAGTAGCAACATGTGCATTGCAAATGGTAAAATATCCATAACATTTTCAGATAAAAGTACATATGCACAGACTAGTTAATAAGTGTAATGAAATTTTCATGTTAATGAATTGGCGTCAATTTGATGAATGTAATTTTGCATTTAGAATTTCTTTTATTTTAACATTACTTACAAAATTTGCTTGGTTTACTGCAGTTATATACTAGCTAAAATTTATGAGTAATATTCTAAAACCAGTCGAAATAAAATAAAAGATGATGTAATTAATAAACTAGCAGTCTGGTGATTATACCAAGTCTAAATTAGCTATGGATGATAAATCTGCCAAATAGAAAATGAATTTTTACCTTTTATTTCTCAGGAAACTTGTGATATTGTTTTCGACATGGACGCCTTGAGGATATTCCTGATGGTTCTTAGAAAGCTCCTCTTGTAATGCCATTTGAAGGTCAGTGGCATCGTTTTTGCGCTGGGTTGCCACTACCCAGGCCAGGCAATCGAATTGGTCTGCACAATCATCATACACCGCCCTTGCGAGAGTGGTCTTACCCAAGCCGCTGAACCCCGCAATGGAGATCACGCTCAGTTCTTCATGTGGGTGGCCTTTCAACACCTCCAAGAGATCCTCCTTTGGCTCCTTGATGCCCACAAGTCGGACCTCGCTCCCGCTCCTTAGCTTCTCGGGTATCAAGGGTTGGCTGTCATTGATGTTGTTCCTGTTTTGCTGCTTTGCACGCTCCAGCCTCTCCTTGAGGCTCTTGACTTCTTTCGCAAGGTCCCTGCCATGGCCACGGCCGCATTCTGAGAAACAAAGGATCCTGTCCATGCAATCTTGGATGTCATATGACAATTCTTGCATATCTTCCATGTATATCCTTCTCGCGGTGCTTGGATCCCTCTTTCCCGAAAGCTGATCCTCCCCTTCAGCGAAGAGCATGCGAAGATCTTTTTCGAGGGAAACCATGTCTTTCTTGAAGCCCTCCCACAGCTCACTGTCCTTCTCTACAAGCTTGAAGACCAGCGCCATCACGTTGTTTGTCACTGGGCTCAGCGCTGCACCCACCAAAGCTCCCACCACAGCAGATACTAAGGCAGCAACCATCTCTCCGGAGATTCCTCAGATCCTTGTCATGCTAATTGGTAGAGTGATTTTTGAACTTGGGAAAGCTCCGAGGAGAGGGGTGCTCCGACGGAGATTTATGGAGACATAGCTACGAAAGCCGACACCAAAGGCCAGACCACTATTCGTGGGACAAAGACGTAACCAACGGCCTGTTCGGCTGATATTAAAGTCGGCTGATAAGCCGACTGAAGCTGATTTGTTGTGAGAGAAAAATACTGTAGATTCTAGCTGATAAGTTCAAGCGAACAGTCCAGTTACTTTTTGTAGTTGGGCCTCAGTTATCTGTATCTCTATCAACCTAAAACTTATTTTACTTGGGTGTTCATAACTCGAAATTTCGTGGAGCTAGAGTTGAGGACAGCTCAAGAGTGTCTGACAGTGCCTTCTTGTTTTCATTTTATCCTAAAAATAATTATTTTTGAAAGATGCCTAAAAATAAATTTGTTTTGGAGTCGCGCTCAATGCAAATGCTATTTTGTTTCTTTCAAAAGTCAACTGTGACAATGCCAACTATGAGTACTACAAACAATCTACGAATAATTTCATGAGATATATAAGGACAAGAACGTGCTACGTTGAACTCAGCCCTTCGCCTCGTTCGCTTTGCTGAAAAAACAAACCAAAACACTCTTCCGGCTGATTTGTTGTGAGAGAAAAACACGGTTCCGCATGAAAAAACAAGCTGAAAAAGACGGATTATAAGAGAAGCGAACCTAGCCTATTGGTTGATACAGATCAAAGTCAAAACACTTGCACAAGTTGATTCTACATTATATGTTAATGCCCAAGTGGGTTCACGAGCAGTGCTGACCGGACGCAGGTCAGAGTCCGATCACAACTTAACGGCTCTTTGACGGGGATAACTGAATGGAGCGTCTGGTCACTCCGCAGAGTGATGACTCAGCCTCCCAACGGTTTGTTTAAACGAGGGGTATAAATACTTCCTCTATTCGTCCATGGGAGGTCTCTTGCCCATTTATTCAGCTGAGAAACAACCTTGAGAGTGCAAAGGAGAGCAAGAGTCTAATGAGGTGATTGAGATTTGAGAATCCAAAATTAAGACCTCATTTATGCAAGGAGAGTAGCAAGTGTGCATCCACCTTTCTCATTAGGCTTGTTGTGGTCAAGTGAGAGTTCTTGCTTGTTACTCTTGGTGATCGCCAGCACATAGATTGTTTGGTGATGATTGAGAGTTTGATGATCATCCGGCGGAGCTTGTGGATGGCCCAAGTCAAGTTGTTAGCGGTTGTGAGCGATTCACCGTGACGGAATATCGAAGAATCAACCCGTAGAGAGCACTTGATCCTTGCGCGGATCAAGGGAGAGCTACACCCTTGCGCGGGTGCTCCAACGAGCACTAGTGGGGAGTGGCGACTCTCCGATACCTCGGCAAAACATCGTCATGTTCCTTTCCCTCTGTTTACTTTAAGTATTTACATTTGAGCAATTCATTTTATGTTTTTACATTCATAGAATTGCCATGCTAGAGTAGGATTGGAACTTTTATATTTTGGTCATTTCTTCATCCAACAAGATATGTAAATTTTGTGAACAATGTTACTACCACTATATCGGATGATCAAATGATGAAATGACCAAAATAAAAGTTATAGATTTCGAAAAGTTATGAAACTTTATAGTTGACAACTTTCTCATTTGAAATCATCTTGTAAGAAAACTACGTTCAAATTTCTCAAATTTGAAATTCAAATTTTGTAAATGACCTCGGATAGAGAAACTATCAAAATGAAAGTCGTAGATCTCAAAAAGTTATAAAACTTTATAGTTAACAACTTTTTCATTTGAATTAGTTTAGGGCCTCAAACAATCAATTTATGCTCGATTTTGTATAATTTGTGGTGAACCAAAATGGATTATAGACATAAGTGATTATGTGGTGCAGTGGTAGAGGAGTTTACGGTCGAGTGAGAGGTCACGGTCCAAGGATTAAAAAAATAAAAATTACTATTTTTTTACCTCTTTTTTCATGATTTCTAGAAATTCATTTGTAGAGACGGTTCAATATTCAGCCGCCACTATAAATCGGTTGGTAGGGGCGGCTGGCTAACCGCCCCTACAAATCGGTGATTTGTAGCAACAGTTTCGTAGGGGCGATTGCCAAAACCGTTGCTACAAACCATCTGGAGCCACCCCTATAAATGTAGTCTGGCGTAGTGAATCTTTTGCATTCTGAATTTGAGCTATATTTGGATTCACCGGTGAATATAGTGGGATGAGAAAAATGGACTACAAAAATAGCCATATTTGAGCTACCTTTTCTCTGCAAAGAGAGAATGTAGTAGTAGAGTATCTGGCAGCAGGTAACGAGGAGACGATAATAATATAAATATATATACAACGCACATGCAAACAGCTACTAGTGGCTTTGAGGCGGCAGTTGCGGATCTTGTGTTAGACAAAAGGCATTCTTGGATAACAATATTCAACTTCAGTTTGGCGCTATCATATTGTAAAGCATCTTCGTTAGGTGCGTATTAGGTGTAGACCTAAGACCTTGGACTGCGAGCGAGGTGAGTCGTCGAGTGAAGCAAAAGAATTTTATTTCTTCGGAAAAGGGTGGAAGAACCACTACTGTATTTTCTATATCAAGTTGTCATAAACCACTGGATTTCTATAGCAAGTTATCGTGAAGACCACCTGAGAGTTCAACTTCGTTGTTGGTTCAGCTCTCGGGTAGAGGAAGCAGAGAGTTGAGGTGCTGTTTTGCTCCTATGGACGATAGCGAGAACCCAGGTTACTACTTGCTCTTTGGCCCGTTCGATTCGCTGAAAAAACAAGCTGAAACACTGTTCCAGCTGATTTGTTGTGAGAGAAAAATACTGTTCCGACTGAAAAGACAAGCCGAAAAGTACGGATTATAAGATAAGCGAACAAGGCAACCGTGTGGGACAGATTTCAACTCGTTCACTGTCTCACGCCAAGTGGGACAGATTTGCCTGTCTTAACAAGGTTAGCCAGGTGGTGCAACCGTGTAAAGCGAGAAATTTGTGGCCCAATTAGAATGAAATGAATGCACTACAACATACAGAAGAAGGAACAGGGTTGTATATTACACCCTGTTCGTTTGAACGTATCAGCCATGCTTATCAGCCATGATACATTCTCTCATAACAAAACAGTATCAGCCGGCTCGTTCACTGTCTCACGCCAAGTGGGACAGATTTGCCTGTCTTAACAAGGTTAGCCAGGTGGTGTAACCGTGTAAAGCGAGAAATTTGTGGCCCAATTAGAATGAAATGAATGCACTACAACATACAGAAGAAGGAACAGGGTTGTATATTACACCCTGTTCGTTTGAACGTATCAGCCATGCTTATCAGCCATGATACATTCTCTCACATCCAGAAGCAAGGGCTTTCTGTGGAGATGAAAAACGCAATCAAGCCAGATCATCCACCAATGTTTTGGGATTAACTGAGCTGAGCACCTTGAGTCTGAGAGCATTATTATTGTCTGAGAGCCAAGTCGACGCCTAGGAAGCCAGGAGAGGACGACACAATGTCTGCACTCCAGAGACTGCAGGCGCTCTTCGTGAGCGCCCCATGGCTGGGTCCACGTGTCAGATCCCGTGTACGTGTCGCCATAAAGAAAGACACAACGTTAGGTCAAATTCCCTGGTGACCATAAATAAAACAACATGGACCACGACGCCTGCTCAACCATGTGGATGTGGTGCCCACAACTGCTAGCGCTTGCTGCAGCTCTGACAAGACGACGCCTCCCTCGTGAATCGTGATGGTGGTCATCCGTGTACACATATAGACGCTCGCTCGTGATGCACATGACCTAACCATCTGTGTCCATCCCGTATGTGAGCACGAACGATCACTACTCATGTATAGTTGCTCCTCCTGGGATCCTGTCCTCCACTGCTCATAATATAATATAATATAATAGTCATGAATCCATGTGGTGGTCATAGCTTGGCCCAAGCACTGATGAGCCCCCGTTGGCCGCCAAGATTACAGTAGGTGGACAACAGTGTACTCACCGGGGGCCAGGAGACCAGGAGAGGACGACACAACGTCTGCACCATGGAGTGCAGACGCTCCTTGTCCATGTGCCGATCCCGTACCATGTGCCTCTTTTTTTACATCAATATTTTGAAGTAGCATTTTGAATGACTTTTTACAGCAAAATTTGTACATATTTGAAATGTACGCAAAGCACAACAAGTTGCATGCTTAATCAACCATATGGGAACAAGCTGCGAAGGTTTAGATAAGGCCAAGGCTTAGTATTGTCTTTTTAATTCGCATTTTTACTTTTTTATTTTTCTTCAGTTCATTTATTTAGCCTTCAGCTAACCGAGTCTAAAATTGGGGTAAACGATGGTTTTGGATTCAAAAAAGGGTCCAATCATGCAGTTGAAAAAACATGGATAAAATCATAATTGGCTGTCAAAGCAAGGCAAGTGAACCAATCTCCCTTATTTGTAAATTAAATTATGAATGCCTAGTGCATCTCAATGCAAGTCAAGTCTTCCTCAACAAAATCTACTCCATTATTATCTATTCATAAATTTCTTGATATCTCATCAATTTTTCCCATGTGAGACATCTCTGAACTTCCACCAAGAATGGCTTTAGTAACAATCTCATAATCTAGCTTCTTTTAACAAAAAAAAAAAAACAATGTCGATCAATAAAGGCCACAAAGGACATAACGTGCCTCTTTGTCACCTGCTCCTAATTTTATAATCTCAATACACATCATAACTTTTAAAAATAACTTTAAAGAAAACAGGCATCATCTGAACATGATTAAGACATTTAACAACATCAATCAAGTTGTGCAAGTGGGCTGTCAGCATACAAATAGTAGCAGTTAAATAGTATAAGTTTTGGTGGTTGGCATATTCGATACCGCCTTAGTCTTATGCAGTGAGCCCTAATCGAACTGTAAATTAATGTACGCCGGGCCTTATTCCAAGCACAAGTGGACCAATTCTGATTGTG